ATATATACGTTTCAAGAGAAATATAATCTGAAACTAACTGTTTATAATTATGATTAATTCTTACAAAACAGAATGCTAATTTTTTAATTAGCTTGACTATTCAAATAATCCTATATTCTTCTGATTACAGAAAAATGTAAAATGTTTCCTAAGATTTTTATTCAATGAGTTATTTGAATATTTGATTATATGTATTCTTAATTACAAATGCTTACACGTTTTAATCATGTATTAATATATTGGGTTTTTTAAATTTAGTGTCCGCCTTGTAAAGCATTTACCCCACAGCTCGTGGATACGTACCAACGAATTCAAGAGAGAGGCCATGATTTTGAAGTAATTTTCGTGAGTTCGGACAGGTAGGCTTTTATAATACACTCTTTAAATTATTGCATTTCATTCCGAGATATTTCCTCTCATTTAATGGATATTTTTTCTATGTATTGTTACATTTGTTCTTTTACATTGTTTCTTTTTAATTTCATCGTATATTTTTGTTTGTAAAAGATTTCAATGTATTTTTATTCTAGGAGTGAGGATTCCTACAATGCATACACGGAAACAATGCCTTGGTTGAGGATACCTTTTAATCAAGAAGAAAGACGTCGAAAATTGGCAAGAGCTTTCGACGTTCAGGCAATACCTACTCTGGTCATTCTAGATCCTCGCGACAATATAATTACTCTGGATGGGCGCGCCGAGTTAATTGAGGATCCAGAGGGACTGGTAATTTGAAAAAAAAAATTAAAAAATTAATTATAAAAGATAATAAAAAAATAAGAATAAAATAAATTATAAAAGTAAATATCTATAAAAGTCTATGAAACTTTGAGGTTTTTATTACAGAATAATTTTGTTAATGTGAAAATGTAAAAAAACTATTTACATTTTCAGAATTTTCCTTGGAGCAGTAGATTAGTGAATATTTTAACAGAAAAGTATGCTACGTCGTTACACGATGCTCCAGCTATTATCTTATTTGTCGGTAAGATGATATAAATAAAATATGTAAATATATAATTATAAATATATATATGTGTGTGTGTGTGTGTGTGTGTGTGTGTAAATATATATAATTTTTTATATAAGAATTAGAGAGTGAGAATCAGAATAAAATATACTAAGTTATAAAGATTATGCGTTTCACGAGTTTCCTCCGTGTCTAGATCCATTCTTGGAATACCAAGTTTTATGAATCTCGCAGTCCACTTTATCAAGGCGAGGAGCAGTCTGATGCTGAGTACCTCCTCGTCTTTCGGGGAAAACCCGCGAAACGCATACTCTTTATATAGAAAGCATCTGTGGAAGCCTCAAGAATATTATATAAATTGTTTAATGCTCTTCTGTTTTACAGAGGGAGAAGATTGTGAGATTCAATTTGGAGAAAGCGTATTACTACCAGCTGCACAAGCGTATAGAAGAGATCAACCCGATTATGATCTAAATTATGATGATCCTGATGACGATTCTTTGCAGTTTTACATAGCTTTAGACGTAAGTATACATACATATAGAATACCTATAGAAGAATATCTATAGACATAAGACGAGACATATAAATTAAAAAAATAGATATTGTAATGTAATAATTAATTAATATAATTTTTATATGATTTTGTGTGTGTATATGTGTGTGTGTGTGTGTGTGTGTGTATGCGAATTTTTCAAATATTTTATGAGAATAAAAGTTTTATAATTACAAAATGTAAATATACTAAAACTGCAAATATTTCTTAAATAAATGAAATATTTTTTAATTAATCACATTTAATAGTAAAGTGATATGATTATAATTTAATGCTTTTTCAGTGTGAAACATCGGATATTCTTCGTGAATTCATTGGTTTGGATGATGCAGTACCTCTTTTAACCGCTATTGACATTCCGCGAGGGTTGTATGTCGTAATGGAATATGGTGCCGAGATTACCGTGGACTCTGTACAACAGTTCATTGATAGATTTCTCAATAACAAACTGCCGATAAATAAAATAGCGGCAGTGCATAAAACATCAAAAATAAACGAACATATGCCGGCCTAAAGTCATATAAAACATTAATTAGGTACACACAAAATTTATACTTGACAAATTTTATAAGAATTGTTCAAACAAAAAATGTCCCTCTCTTTCTTTTTTATTCCTGTCTCTGTGATATCATCGTTCTTTACATATAGAAAGATTCGTATATATAGGCTGTACTTGAGCTGCGTTCGGAACGATATCTGTATATCATTTTATCCTGTTAACTGAATATTAACCAAAGATAAAGAATATTACGTGTGGAAAAAAGTTCGTGGCGTTTTTTTAATGCCTCTAATGGGAAAAACGTCACGAACTTTTTCCCACACCTAATAGGTGCACCCAGGTAAAATTTCCTAACGCAGCCTTGTTCTTATATGATTCTTCGTGGAAACAAAAGAATATGTATTATATCAGTCAAAACTAAGTCGATCAAATTGTATTTTTAATTAAATGCACACGGATACGTTAATATATTATAAATTACTAAATAAATCGGATAAGCGCACTGGAAGTTCTTGTATTTATGAGATAGCCTATTCATTGTTAGCTTATATATGAGCAACATCATTGTCGGTATTTACATATTTGACACAATATTTGTATAATTACATTATCTTGTATAAATTTAACATGTAGGTAATGATGAGCATCATATCAATTGTCCGATGTAGCAAATGACTTTATTTATATCTTTCGTTTTTTCCAGTTTCTTTGTCAAGTTCTTTTTTTTATAAAAGTATCAGTTTCTTAAATTACTAATGCAAATATTGTTGAAATCTTTTTTACTTGTATCCTAGCATTTTTTATACATTATACTCACATGATGTTATTAAATCACATATCAGTCCTAATTTATATATTAAATATTTTACAATTATAAAGCTACTACCGTCGCTGGTTAAAAAATGTACAATAAATTTGCGTTATTAAAAAAAAAGGCACCATATGAGCAATAAAGTGCATCGAATTGTTTTATAGTCGTGTTAGTTAAAATTTGATTAAAGTGTGATTGTCGTATTGTCCGTCTCTGATAATTATACATCTATGATAATTATTACGCAAGAAGTGCTGCTAAAGCGTCGAGAAACTTGGGTCTTTCCTCGATTTTCAGTCTTATTACTGTAAAAAGGAAAAATATTCACTATAATAAATTTCATTCTGACTTATGCTTATAAAATTCCATTTCATACTTACTTGTACTATCAAAGTAGTCTGCCACAATGTAACAATTTTTATTTTTTGCAGTTTGCTCGAATGCTTTCCCAAATAAACTGTAACAAAAAAAAAATCATGGTTAAATAATATAAATCTTTTGTTTACACTTATAAATATTACCTTCTGGGTTGATCTTCACAAACTGGCGGTATACCAACAAGAAGGCAGGATCCTTCCTCTGCATCAAATATCGCAGAGGCCACAAGAGGCCACTCAGAAGCACGTCTATTTCTTGAAGAATTTACATATGCTTTGAGAGCAAACTGGGCCAGCATAATCAAAGGATGAGGATGTGCAAATAAATAATTATCTACATTCCCATCCGGTACATTAATATATAAAAAGGAACCAAAATTCTTTATTTGTTTAGCTTCTAATATATTCTGTGCAGTTTTAAAGATGTTATGAAGCATAAATTTTGCTTTTTCAATGCCACTTTCTAGAACATCCTTTTTTGTACGTGATAAACAGTCCAATGCATCTAAGAAACAACGTTGTGGTTGTCTGTCCTTTGTCTGTAAAAGTATGGTGATATATATAGTAAAAAAGTATTATAACATACCATATTTAATGATTGCTGATTTACCGTCGAATCCAGCAAAGCCAACATAGCATATACCATATCTGATGCACAATATTTAAAACGATAACCATATTGGAGAGTAAAACTAGTGCCAATGATGCTATTGACATTATATTTGCCCGCTAATTTTTCAACCATCTGCTTAAATTCTTGTCTAAAAGTAAGATCCATTGCACGAAATAATTGTCTGGATTGCACCAGAGGTAATCCCATTTCAGCTAAAACTTCCTTCAAACGCTGTTCCCCTCTAATAGACCATAAACGTAATGACACTGCAGTTGGCATTGAATATTTTAAGCTGGCTTCAACAGTCCAGTGACGATATAATGCTAATTGCAGACTATTTGTTATCATTAAGAAATTAATATAGCATATTCGTCAAATTCAATTATTCAGTAAAAAATGAATTATATATATATATATAAAAGGATACTCTTTATCATAAGTAACCTTAACAATACTCTGTTGCTGCTGTTGCTTGTCAATGTCAACTCCTTGTCTATGTGTTAATCTTGAAACATGTGCCTGAAGAGAACCTTCCTCAAGAACGGTTATTCGTGACTCCACCTTGCTGAGAATAGATTGTTCTGTGGAACCAATTATGGCCCACCATGCCATATCTAAATTATCCTTTGACATATTCCAAGCCATTTCAAATACCACTATTGCGCTCTATAATAAAACAAAATAAGTTTTTGAAATAGAATTTTATTATATATTGTTATCAAGATCATAAATTATATGCATACTGATTTGCCATAGTAACTGTATTGTGAATAATTAAAAAGAATTGTTTCTCGATTTTCAACCCATTTTCTTCGTTCGCTTCGCTTTAATATATCTTCTTCATTCAACCTTCGCCTTTTACTTTGCCTGCCTTCAGTTTCATCGTCTGATTCCTCATTTGTCTCCTCTTCATCTGACTGAATATGATTGAACAGAATTATAGAAAACAGAAAAAGAGAATTAGACTAAATGAAACAATTTGTTACATACACTATCATCTCGATAAATATCATTATATTCTGGAATCTCATTGTCTTCGTCGGGTTTACCAAGAATACGTATTTGACTTTCTGAATATATATTAGTTAAATCATAAGGTCTATGACTGTCGAGAATAAAAAATACCACAGATTCGTTTGGTCGAAGTAATTCCACTAAATCTAGAGTACCACCACAATTTATCATAACAACATTTTTTATCTGAAATTTTTCTTAAATTAATTATTTTTGTCAATATGATAATGACCAGATAGATAATCATTTTCCTTTATTACCTCTTCACAATTTTCATCAAAAGCATTTATCATATCCTGAATACCTCGAACAGGTACAAGAGTATATATTATGTGATCATTTTTGAAAAGTTGTTGCAATATTCTACAGGCACAGATTGCATCAACATCAAAATTCACTAAAAGTAAACACCTCTGCAAAGGAAAAAATTAGAGATTTCTATAACACACAGAATTATTTAAATAATATTTGAATATTAATATTTTTAAATCACAAAAATGTGAATATTAATTTAACAGAGAATTATTTATTATAAAACATACAACATTAAATATACTATTTACATCATTTATTATTAATAAAAAATGAAGAAATCAAATAAAGTAATTTTCTGATTATTAAACAAAAATATAAGTTTTATATAAATTTAATACATAATATAAATTTAACAAAAATATAAATTTAACAAAAATATAAATTTAACAAAAAATTATTTGTCATAAAGTGTACAAAAACAGATGTATTGTTTGCATCATTATTAATAAAAAAATAAAAGAATCATACATGCAAGGTTAGGTAGTGCTAAATTAAAAAATTAAAAGTTGAGTTAATTAACTTAGTTACATTTTTAATTCTTAATTTCTTAATTTTTTAACTTTTTAATTTTGTTACATTTTATCGGTAACTATTAATTTTTAATTTGACTTTTTTGAAGTTAACCTTCAGACACATTGCGAGATAATGAGTATCATTTAGTAATTTTGTCTTTTATATTGTATTTTCATTAGTTATAACAAAGTTATTTTTTAATGAACATGCTGTATGAAAACAATAAGAAAAATATAAAACAGTCGAATTTTATCTTTTTTTGGATTGTTTGTTCAATCAAATTTAACTTTTAACTTTTCAGTTACTTTTTTTTATTAACTTCTAATTCAATTGATTTCATTATAGATTATAACTTGTATCTTAATTAAATTAAATTTTCAAGGCTGTTCTTTAATTTAACTTGGTTA